TTGTTTAAACTAAAGTTTTTTTCTTTATAATTCTAATTGGATAAAGTTCAAGGTCTAGATTTTTTTTTTTTTTTTAAAACTCATGGTCAGACCAGTACTATATATTTATTAATCATATGAAAACTAATAGAGATACATAGAGCAATTGTACCATGACTAAACTAAAAGACTTATACTAATACACTTATCAATAGCTTTGAATTCTTAAAAGAGTTTCAATCTTTAAGTGCAATCTTGGAAACAATATTTTGCTTTGTGATAGATTTTGAGTAAATATTATCTTAATTTATTCCATCATTGCTAACAGATTATCATTGCTTATTATTCTCCAAGGAATTAAATTCGAAAAACTACAAAAGAGAAATGGAAAAATAAAAGGAAAAATAAATATCTAAAACTATGCAAATTCACTACATGAAAATAAAAAATAAAAAATAAAAATGTTCTATATTTTCCAAAGAATCTCTGCTAAAAATCTCTTCTCATTAGAAATTAATCTTTTTAGAATATTCTTCTTCCTAACTATCTAAGGAACTTATTCATCCATGATCTTGATTATTTTCTTGTGACTATTTGAGATACTTATCATCTATTTGGATCCAGTGTTTTGCTTAATACTTTCTTTCTTTTGGTCTTGATTTTATATCCATCTGTGTAGAAGAAGATAACAATAGTGGACCTAGGTTCTTATATAACTTTTCAGTCTTGTTAAATAACTTCCAATATCTTTCAACAGTTATACCTAGTTAAAGGAATTTTACTTGTGTTTATCTTAATTGTGATATCATTACACAACATCTGAAATAATACATTCTCAATTTTAGGAAAAGACAGTGTTTTACATTCCTTTGCTTTTTGATCTTACAGTCTAACTGGAATAAGGAAATAAATTTATTTATATACTTTGCCTAACTGGGATGATAAGAAGTTAAAGGTCTCGCCTTGAACAAATACTATTTTTTCATCACCTAGGGAATTTAATATCCATACTAATGGTTTTATGATTTCTTTGCTTCAATTAAACTTTATTTGAAAAAGTGGAAAAGTTCATATTTTTGATTTCTCTTTTTTTCACCAATGATGTCATCGGAATATGTAAATATAATCAGTAAAATCTTGTTTATATTTTGCTATTAATGTGTTTTATATTAATCAATTAGAAGCCAGGTGATATTGTGCTACCAGAAATTCAGAGTCAAGCTGGGATAGGTAAAATTCTTCAAAAAAACTATAAAAAATAATAGACACTCTAAGAAGATAAGAGAAAGTATGTGAGAAGGTAAATAATAAATCTTTTCCTATCTAGAAAACCTCTATCTCTATATCATGTTCAGCTTTAGAAGATAATATTCTATCAATTGATCCTTTTACTTCCTAAAATCTTTTTGTCTTTAGTAGAAAAAGTATATGCTTAAGTTTATTTAGGCCACTAGAGGCTCAAGTTTTTGCTTAAAGGGGTTTGTAAACAAGTAAAAAAAGGTAATAGTGACTCTTGAAGACAAGCTTCAAGTTGTTTTAAGAAAAGTGGAAAAACTATATTAGCCAAGAAATATAAAAATTTCTTATAAATGTCTTTTTTGTATGTGATTAAAGGATTAACGGAAAGAGTTTTTGTTATATTAATTAAGACCCAAATTTTTTTTTTTAAGTACCTATAGCTAATAATGAGATCCTCAAGTATTTAGTATATAAAATTTTGCAGATTACTTAAGTCCCTTTTTGAGGGACAAAATTTATAGCTCTTCATTTTAATAGAAACAAAAGTCAAGAAATACCATAAATCAATAATTTGAATAATGAAAAACAATTGTGAATAGTTTTTTTATAGTTATTAATTTAAAAATTTTAATGTTTTCTAGTAAGTGACATTTGATTTTTATCCTTGCTTCCCCTTTTAGGGACCCATCTTTACCTATAGCTAGACTAAATCATCAGTTTATTGATCAAATATAAGTATATTTTTATTCGAACAGTATGATATATACTATGGTTAAACTATTAATCCTAATCTAACTAATCTGTTTTAGACATAAAAGTCTTTAAGTTTGATCTTGGAAACAATATTTCGTTCTACAGTATCTTTAAATAAAGATTCTCCTAGTTCATTACATTATTTCTAACAAATTGTTACTATCATATATCTAATCAAACTACTGAAATACAGGAAATTACAAAAGAATGAATTGAAAAAAAAAAGTAGAGAGGATATCTGAAAATATCTAAATAAACAACAAGAAAATGAAAAAATAAAAATTTGAAAAAAAAAATATTTCCAGTTTCTTTCAAAAATCTGTTTTTTAAGATCTCTTCTCAATAAGAAATGTTTGATTAAGATATTCTTTCTTTTTCTGATCATTAGAAAAACTTATTTATTCTTAATCTTGATTTCTTTTTGTGTACTGTCTGAGAAGACTTATTACTTAATAGAAGCTTTTATTTTCAGGACACACTTGATTTCAACATTTTTGGATGGTGATTTTTTATTCACTTATGATAGAAAGATGACTTATAATGAACCTTAAGTTTTTATGTAACCTAATAGAAACTGGATTATTAAGATTTAGATTTTCTTTTTATTTTAGTTAAGCAATAATAAGATTAATAGTTTTTAATTCATATTAAACTTTAACTTTTTGGTAATAATTAAAAATATTTTTTTTTAAAAATTATTAAATAACATTATAATTGATAAGAATTTTTTTTATTTTAATTACTTTTTTACTATTACTAGATAAAAAATTGTTAAGAAATTTGGCTTTTTGAATAATAAAAAATTTTTATTAATAAAATTTCTTTAATTAAATACAATTGTTAAAAAAAATATTATATTAAGATAATATAATTTAGTTTTTATTGGTTTATATAAAAACCTGGATCCATTATAAATTATTTGTTTATCATAGGGAATATAAAATTATTGTTTAAAGAAAATTGAGATTAAGTATAAGTAAAAACTTTTATTTAATAACAAGTTTTCTTAAATGATATACTGTATATGAAGAAAATTAGAATTAAGAATTGATAAGTTTTTCAAATAGTTAAGAGAAGAAAGAATATCATAATAAGATATTTTTTATTGAAAAGAAAATTTAAAAAATAAATCTTTGAAGAATATTAAAGATTTATTTTATTTTATTTTTTATATTTTCTTATTATTTGCATATTTTTATATGTTTTTTTATTTTTTATTTTATCTCTTTTATAATTTTCTATATTTTAATAATTTGATAAAACATATGATAATAAAAATCTATTAGTAATGATATAATAAACTAGAAAAATATTTATTCAAAGATTATTAAAAAACAAAATAATATTGTTTATAACAGTTTTTAGATTTGATAAAAATGTTTAACTATAGTATATATTATATTGTTTAAATAAAAATATACTTATATTTTCAATTGACTAATAAGCTATAATCTAATCTAACTATAGATAATACAAATATATATAAAGAATTAAATAATAATAAAATCTGCAGTAGTGATTTACAGATAATGAAGTTAATTATTGGAAGGATCTTTATTTGAACTGCTAATAGAACAATAAATCATTTTCAAAGTTATACTTAAAGTTTTAATAATTCTTAAAATAGAGACAAGTGAGTTAGATAGAGACTTAACTTTAACAATATATTTTCCAATGTAAAGTATACATATTTTTAATAAAGCACACATATCTAGCCTGATAGAAAATTTAAAAAAAAAAAGAATTAAATAGTAATAAAATTATTTAATTTTGAGAATAATCAATAGCAACAATCTATTGTTAATGATATATAAATTATAAAAATATTTACTCAAAATTTATTATGAAACAAAATATTGTTTCCAATATTACACTTAGAGGCTAAAGCTCTTTTGAGAATTGAAAGCCATTGATGAGTAAGCCAGTATGTGATTTAATTTAGTCATGATACAATTGCTCTATATATCTCTAAACACATAGTGCTAGCTTAACCATGGGTTTTAAAATTATTTGATTTTAGTTATTAACTATAAAGTTAAAGTATATCTAATTTTAAAAATTTTTAAAAATAATTATAACTTAATCAGTAATTAGAATTGAACAATTCTGTCACTTTTTGATTTCTTATAATTAGATTTTTAAAATGATAATTATGGTAGAGATTTAACTTTAGCGAAACATTTCACCATACAGCATACAGTATGCACTATGTCCATCATTGGGAATTGTGCATATCGGATTTCTGAGATTTTTAACATCATTATCATTATCTTACCTAATAAATAAGTTACCCCGCATTCATACAAAAAAAAAAATCCGAATACCATTGTGTATTAGCAAACAATTTTAGCTTCCATTCAACCGGCAGTCGCGCAGGGTGTAGTAGTACATTAGCTGTTTCATAAAAAATACTGTCATGTCGCGTCGATATTGCCTTTTTAGTCGGTGTTAAGAATTCTAACTTACGTAGAACTAAAAATTCGACTCGAGTAGATTTACAGTATTATATACTAAATAATTTATTCGAGTAATCTGTTCATCGGCATACTGCCATAAGTAAAATAGGCGCGTTTATTTGGCTTTTAGTTTTTTATAGGCTTGGCTGTGCTATGATGTAATGCATTCCTCACTTAAGCGATGCGATCCGTTTATAAGAAACAGTGTGTTAAATAAACTAATTTAATTATATTACCTTTTTTGTCAAGCTTTCTGATTTCAATTACATACAGTGTGTAGTATGTTTGAGTGAGAAAAGTCAATATTCAGATAAATAATCATTACGCATTAAAAGAAAGATCAGACAATTAATATTATTATTTCTGCAATGTATATTATTTGACAAATTTACAGATTAGAGGAATCGACGCCACCATCGGAGAGGCGGAAGCACCGATAAAAATATTGCGCAAACTGGGCATCCGAAACTTCAGCCCATAAGAGTACTACAATTTACTGAAACAAGGTATATAAAACAGACATAAATACTTTTGTATTAAGCACTACATGTAATAAGGAATAAGGAATTTTAACTAATTAATATCTAGTATTTTTTTCAGTTTAATTATTAATTGCCAGTCTTCTTTGGATAAATCATCTCGGAATGATTCTTTCAACACATCTATGGATAGACGAGAAATCTGGAAATTGACAATAGTTGATCAGAATAATTATGGGTCAAAGATTAAATAATAGGTTAGAGACCCACCTTACTATACAGCTCATCGGACTCTGTAAAATGTCTTCCAAATGTCTTTTGACTTTCGTACACAGGACATTCTAACCTTACGGCCACGCCACCACCGGCCTGACCTTTTTTCACAACATCGACGCTTTTATGATTTTGTTCTATACTTGTAACCTTACCAAGTGAAATGATTTCGCGTTCCTAATTTAAATGCAAAATTGTTGACAAATCTTCGGTCGACATCTCAAGATCATTTTAACTCAAACATATAAATTCACGCATTTACCTTTGTTTCAGGGTCAACTTTCACAACGCATATGGGCGTTCCAGTTCGTAGAACCCCATCGATCACATCAACACCGATTATAATTGGATCCTTCTTGTTAAAGATTGCGCCAGGAATAATTTTGAGGATGCAAGGGAAGACTGCCTGAGGAGCCTGGTCCTTGCGTTTCTGTTCCATTATATCCTATAAAATCAATACGACATTATGATTAGCACATTTGGGCGCGGGAGTGTGAAATGACAAAATGTTGTCGCTGTACCTTGTTATATTCCATGAATTGATCAAATAAATGATAAATGATGTCTGCCTTGAAAATTTTGATGCTTAGTTCGTCTGCCAAATCTTGTGCTTCTTTGTCGACCTTGACATCAAAGCACAGGATAACGGCTAGCCTTAATTACATAAAAGATAATTAGTCAATGTGCATGCGCACCTAAAGTATTCTCGTTCAACACTCACTCTCTCGCTCTTTCCAGCATGGTGGCTGAACGCATTATATCTTTTTTGTGCACGGGACCAATGTTAATTCCAGAAACGGGAATCTTGGATACTTTCAAGAATTCCAAAAGTGCCTCCAAAGATCCCAAGGTTGAAGCCTGCACACATACACCTTTACCCGATTTATCGATAGAACTCATCAGACTCTTGAGATCGGACATAACCTCATCCTTGAGATCATCTTCGTCGTCATCAGGCCCTATAACCATCAGACGAGAACCGGCAATCGCTTTATCCAGATCTTGTGCCGATATTTTTACACCGAGGGCGGCCTTCACGCTTTTATTATGAACATAAGCAGACTTAACTCTCAGTTCTCTAAGAGGTTGGGGTGTCAACAGTGCCCGAATGGTAGTGACGATGGGACCATTAAGACCACAAAGTACAATTCTGTCGCCTTCGTTGAGAACACCATTAGATAGGATGACGTCGATCGTGGTACCGTGACCTTCGATCACTTTGACCTCCAGCACGGTACATTCTAACTCGGACAGATACATCAATTCATTGCTCATCCTTGATTGCGTTAGATTCACCAACAACATGAGCATATCGGGTATGCCCTCGCCGGTGATGGCAGACGTTGGAACAAGTGAAACATATTTTGCAAAGTTCTTATTCTCGTAATACAAACAAGAATTTAATCCCTGTGATCACGTAAACATAAAGTTGAAATTGAATTCTGAATCAGTTGCACGGCATCACGCAAAATACGAGGAGTACCTGTTCGGAGAAGGCCAATATCGTCTTTTCAACTCTGTTTTCAAATTCGCGCTGTACTGATTTCGACTGCTTACTAAGCGAGTCTTGGAAGGAATTATCGGCTACAGGTTTCCAGTCAAACAAACGATCAATCTAAATTAAAAATCCTGATATTAATGATAAACATTCCAAATGAATGAAGTAGGTCAAATCCTGATATTTCGGCACCTTATTGAGTGCCACGATGAAGGGAGTTTTACGGTCACGTAACAACCTTAAAGATTCCAAAGTTTGCGGTTCTAACCCGTGCTGTTGGTAATATAAATGTGTCAAATTTATATTCGGTACACGTTTACCATCCAAAATGATCGTAAAAAATGTTCTAATTACCATAATGTCGACAACTAGGATGGCGATATTGCATAGAGAAGAGCCTCTAGAACGTAAGTTCGTAAATGACTCGTGACCGGGGGTGTCTATGACCAAGAGACCAGGGAGTTTATATTCTTGTTTGCCATCCTAAAGTCATTCGCAATGATTAAAGATGCGTAATGTAATAAAACAAAGGTAAAAATCCATAGTGTTACCTTGTTGAGAGGAGCAGTTTTTATTTTAATGTTTTCCATGGGGAAATAGGTGGCACCTATCTGTTGCGTTATACCGCCAGCTTCCCCTTCTTGAACATTCGTTTGCCGAATTTTATCCAGTAGTTTGGTCTTTGATAAAATTAAAATTGTTAAAAGGATTAGTGGTGGAGATATGTTGCCGATCATTCTAAGAAGGTGGATAAACTCACGTTGTGTGTCACGGTAAAGTCGCCGAGCAAGAAACGATGGTTTCTGTCAACAACGAAACCGTAATATTCTCCTACACCGAGTTCTTCCACCTCGAATCGCCAGAGTTGATCTTGTCTTTGCGTCCTGGAAAATTTATCGAACTTTTAGAAGAAAGAAGCAAAGGTTATTCAAGTAAGATACTAACCGACAAAATTTTCTACGTTCACAAACCTTTCTATTTGCGTCAATAATAAAATCTCCATAGCCGCATGATCGGGAAAGGTGCAAGAATTTTTTCTTTATCATTTCGTTATTTTTTAAAGTTTCATTCTGGAATCCTCGGCTACTAATTAATCCAGATAGAAGCGGGAGACGAACTGCATTTATATCATCATACATCATGGCATCAGGAATGTCCTTGTCCACTAAGATGTCAAGTCCTTTCAAGAGTTCAGTCAAAACATTCCGATTTGATCTAATCTCATGATCGGAGGTCTTCCCGTCATTGCATTCCAAAACACCTTTATTATATTCGCTGAGCACCTCAACACTCTCAAATCCATCGCCAATCCAAGACCCTATCAGCCAAGCACATAATTTAACTACAGAAACAGGCGTCGATGATCCCATGACCTGATCGACTGTTCTTGAGAATGCACCTTCGCGCTTTGGGAACCTGACTTCGTCAGGAGAATACATTCTCGCCTCCGCTTTCACTTCCGGGTCACAACTTAGGAATTGCGTGACTGACGGTTGCCATATGAAACCTGGGCGTACTATCGAATAGACGGATTTTGGCTTGCCCAAAGGTGTATTTTCTAGCTGGTCAAGCAACTTCAGATCACGAAAGGCAGTATTTTCCGCATAAAATACGGTTGGATAATCGATGCTTGGATATGAATACAGTTTATCCATTTTTTCAATGAGATTGGTGGTACGGTTGAATACAAAGTAAAGAAGACGGAAGCGAGAAGACCCATCTTCGCAACATTGGTGATGCACAGAAGGTCCCGAGATCATCTTCAAAACTAGGATGTGTGCATCGTTGCAAACAAATGGTAGAGCAAAAGAATCGTACATAGGTATAATCTTATAAAGAAGTCCTTCACCGTGGGTAACACCGCTAACCTTACGCGGTGTGCTATCATCGCCCATGACCTGATCGTTTTCCTTAATCGTCTCAACGGACTGGATTCGACCGTCATACATCATTATAGGGGTCCCTTTTCCGAAACATTTGCCTGCGGATATAAAGATAATCAATAAACACATTGGAAATCGTAGGAACAATATTTAAGAGTAGGAAATCCTTAAGAGACAGTAACATCATGAGGTAAAAGTATCTCCTACGTATTATGCAAAAGAAATGTCAGTCGAAGGCATTGAATAGAAAAAAACCAATATATTACTCATCTGTATCGACATGCCCCAGGATACAGCAAATTGGAGATCGCAAGTCATCTTTTGATCGAGCAGCGAGGGCTTGTTCATGACGCAACTAAATTTTATAAAGTCAGAAGATTTCACGAAAGTTTGATTCCAAAATGAATTACGACTGCAAATGAAATGAACCTTTCTGCGTTCTGCCGCTTCAGCTTTACGTTTCATAATTTGTTTTTGGTGCTCGGTGATTTCACCTTCACTTTCAGTTTCTTCCTCGCTACTATCTGACTCAGATTCTTCCGATTCCTCCTCAGATTCCTCCGACTCCTCCTTGGCAGATGGTTTAGGTTGAGTTTTTGGAGGTGGTGCTTGAACTGGAGGTTTGACCGAATCCTTCGTTGAAGCTTGTGTTTCTGATTTTACCTGTTTCTTAGCCGACACATCTTCTTTTATTGAAGACGCGGAGAGTTATAATCAGTTTCTTAATTTTAATTTATGGAAAAAAGTTTTTATAAATGGAATGAGAGAATCTTACCTTTAGGTAGTTGAATTTCCTCCTCTTCATCAGAAGATAAATCCCAGCTGTCTTTAACGCCTTTGTCATTTTCTACGGTTACAACATTTTCCTCTTCATCCTCTTCATCCCAACTTTCCTTTATATTTTTAACGTTAGCTTCTTCACTCGTTTCCAAAGCCTTCTCGAGATTTTCTTGGGAGTCTAAATTAAATTGTGATGTATTATGTAACAAAAAGGAGCCGAAAAGAATCATGCATTGTATTAAACAAACCTTCCGCGATATGTGAAGAAACCTCCGTTCCTGATGGTGAGGCTTTCGTTTCATCCTTATCTTGATTCTTCCCAGGTTTCCTTTTCTTATTGGAGTAAACAACTCTCTTTGGCTTCTGATCACCTTCCTTATCCAGGCCTTCCACTTTATGACCGGCTTCGATCATCTGCTGTAACCTCAGCTGTGCTTGCTGCTGCCTGGCTTTTTGAGCCTTGGTCAACAATTTACCCTCCCTCTTGAGCTGTTCCTTCTTGGCCTGAAAAGGAAATGCAAATTATAATCGGTGTTGGAATTTTTATAGCAATGTTCATGAAACCGGCATCACCTTCTCTTTTTCCTTCTTTATTCGTTTAGCTTCCTGTTTGCGTCGTTCTTCCTCTTCGATACGTCGACGTTCCTCTAATAAGAAACATGTCAAACTGTTAAGACGGAATTTTGAATGCATTAATCACGCATCGATAAAAATCTTCGGTCGTATTTCACCTTCAATCCTCTTTTCTTCTTCTTCTTCTTTTCTTCGTCTCTCTTCCTCAGCGGCACTGTAAAGGTGCTCACGTAAGAATCAACTATTTTGCATACGCAAAGGCAAAAAAAAAAAAGTTCTATATGATACCGCTGAGCCTCTAAGGCTGCTCTTATGGCTGCGATAGGAGCTTTGCTTTTCGTAGGTGCCTTCTTTTCATCCTCAGCTGGCTTTTTCTTTTTCTTTTTCTTTTTACTTTTTGACTTTGAGTCTTCCTCTTCTTCTTCCTCCTCGTCTGCGACTTCCGCCGTTACCACGGGTGTTGGTGGTGGCAGATCGACCTTCTTCTCGACTTCCTTTTCGTTCTCGCCTTCCGTAACCTTCTGTGCCACTGGTTGCGATGCTTTTTTCTTCTCAGCTTCAGCCTTCTTCTTCTCTTTCTCTCTTTGTTTCTTTAACTTCTCTTTTTCCTTTTTGCTCAACAATTTGATCTCCCCCCCATCTTCACCAGCCTTTTCAGCATCTGTATTGAGCACCTTTTCATCAGAAACGTCGCCTCCCTTTTTCTTTTTCTTCTCTTTTTTGCCAGTCGAGCCGAATTCTTCGTCAGCCCAATCTTCGGGTTGCATCGTTCGAACCTCTGTCACGACGACAGGTTCAGACGGTTCGTTGGAAAGGTCCTCGTCAACAGTCACTGATAAATCAGCGTCCTTTGTGGCATTCTTCTTTTTCTTTTTCTTTTCGCTTTTTGCCGCTTTAGAAATTTGTGCCATCAGACCGCCATACTCGTCGTCCTCGACGACTTGGGGCAAATCAGATTCCGGATCAGCAACAGGAGGCTTTGAAATGATTTCAGGTTCCTTGGAATCTGCGGTAGGTAAGTCCTCCTCCCTAAGAGAGTTAATAATTCTTAAGCTTGGTAGAAGAGTTACTTTGCAGATACTTGAAAAACACGCACCAGTCGTCTACAGCCTTCTTTTTCCCTTTTTTGTCTTTCTTACCCATGGTGAGGTGGTAAATGGCACCCAATATAAAAATCGATCTATATTACAGGAAGTAAGTGCGTTTCGAGGGTAGACGACGGCGGCACATCAAAAAGAAAAAAAATTTGTGGCACTTCGGTGATTTCTTAGGTCACGAGAAATCTAACAGGTGACAACCATAAAGGATCCAATTATCTCATTAAGCCAAAAACAGCAATATAGGCTTAATCAAATAAATGAAAATTTTCCTTTGTTCCAGCTTCTCAGACGCTTTTTGACGAAAGAAGTTCATTTCAAAATGTCTAATCCAAATCCGGCGGCATACACTAATGGCATGAATCTTGCTAACGGATTAGTAAATATGCCCAATCCCCCTAGAGGTATAACACCGATGCTGGCTATGGGTCAAGCGCAAGCATACAACTTAAGCAACATAAACCTTGGATTTCCCACAATGGTTCCAAATATGACTAACATAAATGGTACCAGATTACCAGGTCAAGTAATGACACTAGCACAAAATCCTTCACCGCCCATGTCGTGAGTATAAATTTCGTTTTGTTCATTCGAAAACCAGCATTATTACCTTCAGTTTCATTCACACATACACACTTTTTCTCTGAGCGACAGTCGGAACTTGGTTTCCCTTTATCCGAGGCGAGTTCTGCAGAATTATCTATTCTAATTTGAAAATATTTTTGCTTATAATGTATTATTGGAATCTGAATAATTGAATTTAGGAATCGAGAAGTTAATCAAAGAAATGCTTTTTCTTTTTTTTTTTTTTATTAAATCCCACTTCCAAATATATATATACGTATATAATATAGCAGACCACAAGTGCAAGGAAAGTTCATACTAAGGGTTTATCTGCTCTGTGAATATCTAATGTGTGAGGTGAAGAAGGATCATTATTAGTTTGTTTACTTACGTGAGCGTAAGTTAGTCCACACCATCTAATCATTCTGTCAATTCGTTGGCTATCTTCAGAAACATGCAGACAAAAAAAACATAGCATATTGGAAACGCACGATAACTGAATTCTTTGCAGACGACGGAAAGATGAAATATGGACTATGGAGTCAAAATAATGGAGAAACTAGAATATTCGGTTAGAGTTATTATTTTTTTCGTACTGCCGTCACCATTCGCGATGACGCAACCAGTAATAATCCGTTCACCGAGTCTTTGCCAAATTATGTGATAGATGTAATGGATACTACGTACCGCATAGATCACAGAAGTCTGTTGCGGAATTCTAGCAATGTTTAACATATACTGGTTGCATCAGATCGAGTGATCGGCCCGTTTTCTTACCGGATTCAAAAAAAAAAACCTTTTTTTATTAAACAATATTACACATTGATTTGTAGACATACCCCATCCCATCATCCCAAGATTTTTCCATGTAAACTTTGAATCTGGCGTCACATCAATACAACTGACGATGAATAATGTCAAAGAGTTTATGGGACAGATGGGACAGATGCCCCATCCTAGCGCAATAGTAGAAGCAAAAGCCTCAATGATATATGACTACGAAGACGGATCGAGGGTATGCGTCAGACCAAATTGTCGGACAACTTTACAACAGGCAGGCTCCTATGTTAACGATTCATCTCGTTGTTTAGGTTGTGGCCACGGGGAAGCTCAAAGTGAAATTTAATATGAACATCAAGATAGAGTTATTTGAATTTATGACAGAAAAACACACAGAATATGTACCACGTCACAGTAATATATCGAGCGATAGCCCGATTGGCGAATATGGCATACCGGTGAAAACGTTGAGAAGTCTCGAGGTAATTTCATCTTCGGTGTAATTATGCGATCATTCACTTCACAATGTGACAGATACAGGCGTTATAATTTTTAGATTTATATTTGTAGGTTGCCGAAGGTGTTGTGTCACTAAACGAACTAATAACGCTCGCCATATCTTCGAATAAAGGGCCCCTAGGTAAGATGTCGGCAAACACTTTATCGACGGCCACCGGATCATCGATTTCCTTTTGTAACCTCGGCTAAATTTAATTTTACAGAAGTATTATCTGTGGTGGCAAATCCGGATCAACAGGCACAAACGATGATAAATCAACCGAACCAAAATACTCCCCCCACACCCGGACCGTCACCACCCGAACCAACGGCAAAAACCCCCAAAGAAAAAACCGAAAATACCACGTCGGATAACTCACAGACGTCCACTTCCAATGACGTTACAGTTTCGTCACCCTCAACGTCAAACGTCAATTTAAAAACAGAATCGCCAACGACGAAACCAGCATCTCCGCTTCAGAGTAGTAAGTTTCGCCTTGCTCTCAGAACAATTTTTTTTTTTTTTTTTTTTTCCGCAAAGATTACGAGCTGAGCGCAAATTTTTCCTGTCAGGTAAGAGGTCAATCGTATCAATTGACTCCCAAAAACCAAAACGAACGCGCACGAAAAATTCTCCTAGAAAGAACAGTCGGCAGGAGACCGGTTGACGATGCTTAGAGAGGATCGACTGCATCACGATTCACCAAAACATGTGTATTCCCTTTTAGTTAAAACTTTATTGCATAATTTCGTTTGTACTTAGTATTATATTTGTAACATCATCATTCTTACTCAATACACTTTGATTTTCCCTTTATTAGTAGACACTGTAGTCATAACCAACAAATCCCATAAAATATTTTAATTCTTTCTTTCCCTTGGGATAATCTCGATGTAATGTATTCGGTAGAACAAATTTCGTTGATATATTTCAATAGAGCATAATTATTTCTTATTTCTTGATATTTGGTAAATAAAGATGCCAACATAAATTTAATATTTATCAACGATAGAGCTTTCTTGGCTTTTGAGGTAAGGATATTTCTTTTTCTTTCCTCTAAAATTACAAAACGAAATGGCAATAAAACAATCCGGTTACGATACACTGTAACGAATTCGAACGGTTTCCTATTTGTTTATGAAACATAACACCGCGTGCCAGAAAATACGGAGTTCAAAAATTTTTGAGCTCCACGAAATTACTAATTTTCGTTTTTTTTTAGACTCAGCCGGATTTTTAGCGGTAACCGCCGCCATGTCACCATATCACCTGTTGTCAGTTATCCTCTTTAATCATTTCCCGGGTTAACTTTCTCAATTTCTTGAAATTTGATGTCTTACCAATTTTCAATTATGATTAGTAAGGCAATTAAAAATAATTCAAATATCATCTATTTCTCGCACTGTCTGGCAGTGTTTCTACAACATCCATTCTTACTCTATAATTCAAGAGAACGGAAATATTAACCATGATTCAAATTAACTTTTTGTGCTTTAAAAGAAAAAATCAATAACATTTCTTGATTAGTAGAGCAATTCGGAGTAACTTTATAGAATCGGTTTTAGATAAATTATAACCCAATTATAAGGATAAAATATATACAGTATGATCGTCTTAACGAGTAATATGCTTAATTTATTATAAAAAAATGTGAGTTGAAATAATTTTATTATTAAATTAATAAACTTCAAAATTATAAATTTTATAATTTTTTTTTTTTAACCAACAATCAGGTTAACATGACATGTTTTTATAAAGACTTTTACATATTAACTTACCTGTCATTAAAAAATATTTTTTTGATGTAACTTAGAAAATGATATTTTGCTTCTTTACTAATTTAAATTATCCTTTAATTAGTTTATTTATTTTTTTATTTTAAAACCACTTAATAATTAGTTTATTTATTTTTTTATTTTAAAACCATATAATAATTAGTTTATTTATTTTTTTATTTTAAAACCATATAATAATTAGTTTATAGAGAATAAAGTAGGTACAAAATAATACAAGTAATTTGTAGAACTATATATTTAATTTTTTTTTTTTTTTTTTTTTTTTTTTTTTTTATTAATGGGCCCATGCCTAACTTTATTGATTTCCAAATTACATATATACAGTGCACAAAGCATGAGTACAGGAATATATATTCAGGAAGTATAAAGATAATAATAAGCTAAAGCTATATTAAAGCTACCTCAAGGCTGTTGCCCTTTCTTTTACAAAAGAAAAACCAGCATTCCTAGAGCGTGCTGATGTCTAAAAATAATAAAAAGAAAAAGAAAATTGAACAGTCATGTGCCATTTGGAGCTGGTATCGGTTTTGTTTCTTGGCTTATGTCTGTCTTGTCTTGAATTTCCCTATAAGAAGGTCTGGAGAAAAGTACTTCTACTGAGTCTTTTATGGAAATAAGTTGAAGGCCATTGAGGAGACTTTACAGTTTTAAGGCTTGTGGGGAGGGAGTAACCAGGAAGGCCCAGGTGATATATTGGTGTCC